TGACATTATATTAAACTTATTAGACAAGCAAGAATACAAATCTAAAAATTTTTTAAAAATCTTTTTAAATTCAAAACTCGACAATATTAATCTCAACCAAGAACATTTGAAATGATTTCGTACTTAAAAATATTGTGAAATGTCTAATTTTTTTAGTTATATGGAATGAAATTTAAAATAAGAATTTTCATACGTACTTCATCCTTCAACCAAAAATGTTTTTACCGTTCAAACTTGTTAAAATATTTTTAAGAGTTCTAAGTAATTAATGTTTTAACATTTATTGTATAAATAAATCTGTAAATAGTATATTGAGATGCACGTAGTAGATTAGATAAAAGATAACTAAATATTTATCAGTGTAAATGTCAACATTGAGTATATAATACTGGAATAATAAAATTTCAGAAGAAGATGACGATGCCACAAAAATATTAAAATGTAAGTATTTGAAATTAAATAATTAATCCAATTGGCAATTTGAAATATATTTATTTAAAAACAAATGTACCTTATCATTAATACCTAATTAATTAGTTATCTTTATTTGTATTTAACATAGTACAAGGTATGTGTTTTCTATGTTTTTTTTCTTTATTAAGTGTAATAATAAAACAATTTGAAAATGTAAATTATAATTTATATAATGCAATTTCCAATAGTTCTGTAACAGTTTATTAATTAACTGTATTGATTATATTTATACATAACATAGGTTAATACACCTATTGGTGTAAATATTATGCTATTTAAAAGATGTAGAATTGACTGCTGTTTCCTCTTAGTGTGTAGTCTCTACCTTGTGATCGAAGGAACTGACTATTGTGTATACAAAAAATATTATATTTTTACATCTTTTGATTAATGTTCTTGTGTAATGTGTTTTGTAATATGTTCAAAGAAGTATACCTAAACCTTGAGAGGAAAAGTTAAAAGTCTCCTATAATATAACACAAACTATTTTTTTTCAAGTGAATAAACCAAACATAGTAACTAAAATAGCTGGATGGGTATGATTTCCCCTGGCATCCCACAGCTGAAACCCTAGGTTCTGTTGACTTATACAAAGTTTCTGAATGTGACATAAATTAAAGGTTATTCATACAAGTCCCTAATGTTATAACATTAGTTGTATAACTACCTCTATAACTAAACTTTTGATAGCATGTAGTAGATAAGATAAATGATAACTAAATACCTCATCAAGATAAATATTGACTATTGAGTTTATAATACTAGAATAATCAATTTTTAGAAGCAAATGTTGTGTTAGACTGTAAGTATTTGAAATATAGTAATTAATGCAATTTTGTTATACTACATTTCTCTGATGAATGAATCATAAATTACCATGTACTATTCTTTTAAATTAATATTTAATATTATGAAAACATTTTGAAAAGTATTACAGCCATAAATAGTTAAAACATTTGAATGTTTTAGAATTAATCCCATTAATTTAAAAATTTATTTCACAATTCAATAGTAGGTATAATATTTACCGAAAATCTGTTTTTGATATAAAAACAAATACCTACCTTTTTTTTTTTTTATAAAAGAGCCCTCGGCGACATAGGCCATTGGGTTTTTGTGTTGTATGGGTTTATGGTTTGTATTGTAGGTTTTTGGGACGGTAGGGGGGAACACGTGTGTGTTTGATTTGGCAGAATTTCGAATGGGGCACCCGTAGGTTTCTGCCATGCCCCGGGGGTGGGGGATGGCAGCACTTGTTCTCCGGTCACCGCGACATGTCCGGAGAAAAATGCCGCCCGGTGGCCGAGGATCGAACCGCGACCGGTTGCGTCGCAGCGGACGCGTCAGACCACTCGGTCACCTCGTCCCCACCTACCTTTTTATTATAGTGGTTAATTGGGTTTATTTGTATTTTAGCATGTCCAGAAAGTATGTATTTTCATTGTTTTATTGTTGAATAGGTACGTTTTATAAATCAATAATATATCCATTGCAGTTTAATATTGTTCTATAACAGTTTACTGATTACAGCATTATCATTTATCCACATGAAGACAGGTTATTACGCCTATATGTTCACGGCGAATCATTTACGTTTAAATAGTTTGTTTTTGTTTGCTTTTAATTAATCAGTAATAAATACAGTACTCAGTAATAAATACAGTTATCTATTCAATTAACGACTTTTAAATTACCGAAACTGAGATTTCAATGCTTTTGTGAAATTGTATCATAAGCCCATGACGCCCGCAGAAATATAAGCCTAGGGGCAAAGTCAAAAGTTTATGTTTATACTTAATATCCTTATATTAATTGTATCTCTATCAGTTCCGACATCAGAAAATTAATGTGATGTATGGCAATTTATCATAAAATTAATGAAATACTTTAATATATTTTGGTAGTTTTAAATAGTTTGTTTATACATCAATTATAAATAGAAGTACGTTCCATAAAGGGAATTTGAAGAGTCTAAAAGTCTTTCCCCCTTGGACCTAAATTTTATATTCTATAATAAAATCATATTCAAATATATATTTTGTTGCTGTGCATCGTAAATGGTGATGACAACTAAAAATTATTTTTAATTTTTTATAGTTGATCATAGTAAGTTAAATGTCAAACATTTTTTCATATGTTTATTAAGGTTTATTCAAATTAATATAAAAATAATAAATGAATCATACCTATATATTTTTATTTTTTTAGGCAAGGAAAGTACGTACATTTTGTGCTTTTTAATAAATTGCATATTAACATGCTACCCATGTAATAATTAGTTTATGTAACACGGTTTTCATATTATATTATTATATGTCAATTAATGGTTTGTTCACCATTGTCATTCAAACTATACAAAAACAGGATACTTATTTTATAAATAAAAACAATCAAATCCGTGGCCACTCCTGTATTATTTTTTTTAAATATTAAAAGTTCGAATGTCACAATTAAAACATAGCCCCTATTTTGTATTTATTTAAGTATGGTTTTTTCAAACTACATAATTGAAATAACCTAAAGTAACTTACGACATAGATGACAAGTAAAACTTATGTTAATACCAATCAATTTTTTTTATCACTAGTGTTTATAAAAAAATAAAATCATTAAATATTTTATTTTAAAATGAACTACTTTCATTGAAATTTTGAAATTCAGTTCCCTATAATAATTCATAATAAAGAAAATGACTATATTTTTTTTCCAGAATTATATAGTACGTACTTTTTTGTTTTGTTTTTATATTATTAAAATATATTTTATTCTGTGTACGATTTCAAGATTGAATTATAATTGAATTATTAAATATTGATTCCTTCTCCATTAGGTTGCAATAATGTCCATTTATAGATAATATACTAAGAATAAAATAAGAGGCAATTGATATATTCTGAAACTTGGTAGTTGGTGGTAAAACCATCATCTGTGTTTTCCTGTAACAAGACCACATACTTATATCTGTCGTTGCGTTTATGTGGTAGGAGGGGGTTGCATAGAGTGCCATGTTCCCCCATATACCATAAACAAAATTTAAAAATAATTTCTCCCTAGAATCTCTATAGAAGTTTAGAGTGGGTGAAAATTATAATCACAGCCTATGTAGATAGAGTTGTGCTATCACATTTAAAGGTCATTTTGTAAATAGTTAAAAGTAGAATTTTTTAAGAAATTATATTGGTTTTCCCCTAGAAGTCGAATCGATTACGACAATCACAAACATAGATACATATTATTTCTACCAAGTCTTCAAACAGTTTGATATACTCTAATTTTTAAACCGAGAAAGCTATAGAATTGATCTGTAGAGAGTGACTTTCGTGTGTTACACAATTATAAGATGTACGCAAATGCCGTGCAGCGTCCTCTTGAATACATTTATGAGAAGTTCTGCTGTTATTCAATTGTAATGCTGCTACTTTTTAATGTTTCTACACAAATTAAAATAAATAATAAGTTGGATTCCATAAATCAATTTTTAAGAGCATACTTCCTTTAAATGTGAAACACACAAAATAAGAATGGTATTTTAACAATACCCTGAAATATGCACACAATAATATAAATATATAATATAGTCAATATATATTATTGATACCGACACATCATAATTCTTACATTTTTATCAGTGGTGAAGATAACCAAAGAGGTCCATCACATTATCACATTAAATGTCATGTTATACCTATTTATAATTGTATTATAAGTAACTACCTATTGTATAATCTATATATATATTTTTGCAGAAGAAATTCGTAAGTTTATTATTTATTTAATGACATAATTTTAATCCTCCTTTTTTGAAATGACCCGAAGAAAAATAAAAAATAAAATAGAACATATTGTGTTTTTTAATCGGTCAGGGTCTTATTCATTTGAAACACAGTGCTTATTTAGATGATTAAAACTTCAAAATAGTTCAGTGTTTTCGAACGATAATATTTTATAACGGACATTTTAATCTTTTTTTTAACTATCCAAGATCTAACATTGTATTTTTAAATAAGGCATGAGTACACGGTGAATGCTTTACTATTGAATAGTTTTTTTTCATATTATATATTTAGGATAAAGGCTTCAACGTCATAAGGTTATTAGCCTACAATTACAATAAAAATGAACAAGGATAATATAATATATAGTATATACAGTTATTTACAATTTATGGTCTAGATCAGGGGTCGGGAACCTGCGGCTCCGGAGCCGCATGCGGCTCTTGTTAATGCAACCTGCGGCTCTTTGGATAATTATCAATATAGATATATCCGTAAAATATAAATTATATTATACGTTATTATAACGACAATAATTCTGATTTTCTCAATAGTTATTTATTAATCTTATCGCACAGTTATTAACATGTGTGTGTTCTATTAAACTCGACTATCATTATTCGGTAGAATACAAAATTATATTAGTCGATACGTGAGCACGGTCCTCGTCAGGTCAATTAAATCAGTGCGACGTTGTTCGGTATTTTTTTCTTGTGCTTTTTTTCCAATAGAGGTATTTCTATAAACTTCGAGATGTCTACAAACAAAAAACGTAAAATTGAAGAGGAAAATAGAGGATTTAGAAGTGAGTGGACTGATACTTATGCATTTGTCCCGAACAACATGGGACAACCAAAATGTCTTATTTGTGACGAAAACTTCAAAAACAATAAAAAATCTAATATTGAACGTCATTTTTTATCAAAACACGATTCTTTTGGTAAGACGTACCCAGCTGGAAATGAAAGAAAAACAGCAGTGGCCGAGTTGATTCGTAAATCTCAACAATCGACATCTAAATTTAATAACTGGTTGCAGTCGAAATCAAAGATTTTTTAACGAATAAAGGCATCAACTACCCCGAATTGTGCGATGATATGTGGCTACAAAAATTGTATTTTGCTGTAGATTTGACTTCATCTCTAAATCACTTAAATAAAAAGCTTCAAGGTAAGGGAAATACAGCACATACACTACTGGAAACTGTTCTTTCTTTCGAACAACAACTTCAGCTTTTTTCAGAAGATATTGAGAGCGGAAATCTTGATCATTTTGAATCTTTGAAAGAGTACACGGAAAGCTCAGGTTGTATTATTGATTTGGAGTATTTTAAATTGGCCATTCAATCCATGAAAAATTCGTTTAGTAGACGTTTTGAAGATTTTCGAAAATATAAATCTACGTTGAAGTTCTTGACATCACCACTCATAGCGGAAACTGGACAAATTAATTTTCCATCGTTTCCATCTGTCGACAAAAGACTATTTTCATTGCAATTAATAGAACTAAAAACCAAAGATCTTTGGTCTACAAAATTTGAGAATTTGAAAACGGATATTGAAAATCTGGAAAGGGAAAAAGGATTTTTAGCTGCGAACCATAAATGGACGGAACTCGCTAAATGTCAAAAAGAAGAGAAAGTTATATTTGACGTATGGAATAGTCTTCCCGAAAGTTTCAGCCAATTAAAAATGGTCGCTTTCGGAATTTTAACCATTTTTGGATCTACTTACATTTGTGAGCAAACATTTTCAAACATGAACTTTATTAAGAATAAATTAAGAAATCAACTGAATGATATCAGCCTTGATGCTTGTTTGAAGTTGAAAACTACAGACTACTTTCCAGAATTGAATAAGCTGTCTGGAGAAATTCAGTGTCAAAAATCCCACTAATATTAAATAGATACGTTGTTTTGTGTTTTATTGTGTTTAATTAAATAATATTATATTTGTATAAACAATAATAATAATAATAATAATGAATTAATGAAAAAAAGTTTTTCTGTATTTTCTAAATTTAAGACGTATTATGTATTATGTTTTTATTTTATTGCCTACTAAAAAAAAGTTGTTCAAACCTGTGCGGCTCCCTGGATATCATAGTTTTGTATTTTTTTAAAAGAATGGCTCTTTCCTACGAAAAGGTTCCCGACCCCTGGTCTAGATGGATATAATGGAAAGTTGTGTATATTGCTTCAGTGTTTTCTTCGTTGAGAGCGAGTCGGAGGGATGTTGAGTTTTTGAAGATTTTCCATGCTTCGGAGTATTTAAGGCATCTTGTTACAATGTGGTCGATCGATAGGATCACTTTTACATGCGTTGCATATTGGAGCAGGTTCCTTGGCGATGAGGAATGAGTGTGTGACGTGTGTGTGACCTATTCTTGCACGGGTTATAATGACCTCGTCTCTTCTTTTTAGGCTACAGGGAAAATTTCATTTTTTGATGTGAGGCTTGATGTTCCTTAGTTTAATTGATAGGCGGACGTTGGACCAAGTTTTCTACCATGTGTCTAAAATTTTGAGGTTATGATGTTGAGTGATTCTGAGGATGTGGTTAGGTTTAGTTTTAGAGCATTATGGTGAAGTGTAGCTTCGTTTGCGAGTTTGTCTGCTGTTTCGTTGCCAAAAATGCCGACGTGGGACTCATATGAAAGTGAATGTTTTATTTGACGTTGATATCAGTTCTTGAATGTGCAGTACTAGTTCATTTGTGGAGTAGAGATTTAGGATTGATTTTAAAGTACTTAAGGAGTCACTGATGATAACAAAAGAGTCCAAACTGGAGGTGGAGGCAATTTTCAGAGCTTCGAGTATAGCACAGGTTTCCGCTGTGTAGATGTTGGTGCTGGAAGGGAGAGCAAATTTGTAATGTTCATGTCCTAAAACTGCAGCAAAACCCACACTGTTGAGATTTTTGTAGGCGTCAGTGTATATAGGTGTACTACTAGGGTATTGTTGAGACATTATTTCAGAGAAGAGATTACGAATGATAGTGCTGTCAGTGGAATTTTTATAGTGATTGCTGAGTTGTGTATTGATATGGGGAGACCATATCCAAGGAGGCGTTGAGAGTTGAGTTTTGCTCATTGATTGTGTTTGGAGGCCAAGATTTGTACTGATCGTTGTGAAATGTTCAAAAATTGTATTCTCGTAGTTGAGTTGATGGGACTAGTAGCAAGAGAATTTTCAAGAATCTTGCTGGATATATGAGTAGGCAAACTCTTAATTCTTAATATGTATTTGAGTATATGGCTATGGCGTCTTTGTTCAAGAGGCAGTTTACCAGCGTTGCATAAGATACTATCTACCCGGCTGGTTCTAAAAGCTCCAGTAGCCAGACGTATACCTTGATTACGTATAGGATTAATGGTGTTGAGTACATTATTTCTTGCGGAGTTGCTTGCAATGAGGTGTTGTTTGCTTCTATAGGAGGAGTAGATGTAAGTATGTATTGAGGTTAAAGCATCAAGTGTTGAGTGGTTACGTCTGAAACCACATTACTCTTTGTTAAGGAGAGTTTTGGATTCTAACATCCAAATTAGAAGTTTGTTTATAATTTTTTCTAGAAGCTTGCTTAAAGTACTGATTAACTATATTGGTCTATAGTTCTCGATTTTAAATTTGGATTTGTCTGGTTTTGGAATGGGGATTACGTTAGCATTTCGCCATTGAGTGAAGAAGAAACCTTGTGTCCTATGGTATTGTATATAAGGAGAAGTGTTTGGATTCCTATTTCTAGTAGATTTTTGAGGAATGAGTAGGGTATGTTGGCGGGTCCAGGACTATTGATGTTAAAAGATTGTAGTGCCGACGTCAGTTCAGACATGTCCAGATCTAAGTCGTGTTGAGCGTTGATTTGAGTATATACTATTTCAGGTACTTTGTTGTTGGCAGATCTGTGGGTGATCAAGTCTGGATTATTGTTCTCATCACTGTTGTTTTTTGAAAGAAATGAGCAAAGGATTCTGCGGCGTTGGATGAGGAGACTATTTTTTCTTGGTTGTAGTGCAGTATATCAGGAATGGTTTTGAATTTGTTTCCTTTGATAACATTTATTTTGTTCCATATTATTTTTGGAGCTGTACTCTGGCTTATGGAGGAAGTGAAATTTTGCCATGAGATGGTTTTGCTATTTTTAGTAGTATAACGAGCTATGGCCCTAGCATTTTTTAGGAGTATGTGGTCTTCAGAAGTTTTGATTTTTTTGTATCGGTTGAGTCTCTTTTTATAGTTTTTAATTGCTTCTAGGCAGTCCTTATTCCACCTAACATTTTTGTAAAGATGTTTTTTTGTTAAGATTTTACTATACGAAATATATATATTGCATATGCATAAGTGTTTTACAAATTTTACGAGTGTAGTTGTTACTTCGAGGTCAGACACTATTGGGATGTCTTAGCTTTCGAGAGTATAACTAATGAATGTGGCAACGCCACCACTTGCTCTATTAGCGAAAGTTCTGTTTTTAAAGAAACCTGAGTAGTTTTTGATGTACGTAGTGTGGTTATCCTTTAGATTTGTTTCTTGAAAGCAGATAGTCTTAGGTTGAAAATCATAGAGGATATAGTTGATGTCGACTGAGCGCTTATAGAAGCCGTTAATGTTCCATTTAATAATTGTGCTCATGATTAAGTGATATTAATAGATAGTGAAAGACTGAAAGGTATACCGGGTGAGGCCAGGAGGAGTATTGAGAATGAGCTGAGTGTGGTTGTAAAGGGGGTTAGTTGTCTTGAGGCGGGGGTAAGGCTTGGAATAGAAAGTCAGCCAGTCTGGTGAGTTGAGCTTTGGTTGTGTGTTCAGTGACTTGAGGTCGTACTGGATCAATCAAGAGCATAAGTGATGTAATATCCGAGTTTATGTCTTTGCAGATACTGTGAATATTTAGATTTTTGTTGGTGAAATTTTCCAATACGTATTTGAATTGATGTTTTACATGGGTGAATAATTGGAGAAGATGTCCTCAGCTGGTTTGAGCCCGTCGGATATTTTGTCACCTATCTTGGATGAGGAATTAGAACTAGATCTATCTACTTTAGTTTTAAATGCGGACGCGTAATTACAGTTTGTGTTTTATGTAGTATTGTTGGTATCTATTTATTGATTGTTGATAACACTGGTCGCAGAAGACGCCGATGGCGATAATGCCGATGCAGTCAATTCATTAGATTTATAACCTTTAAAAGTTTAATAGAATACATTTTTATACTAATAATATGAAAGATTTTTTTCTCAAAATCTGGAATTCTTTGTTTAACAATAATATAAACATATATATATATAGTCTATTTATGGAGAATATAAAGTAAATAATTATAAAGTAATTAAACATTATCATTTACAGAAAAAACATGTAAGTATAATTTAATTATTTTGTATAAACAATAATATTTTTAAATACATAAATAATCAATGTATTTGAAATTATGTATACAATTATCAAGCTATTTCAAGAAGAATAAAAAATGTGATCGACACTAATAATTTTTTTTTTTATAAATTTTTCAAGTTCATACATAAACTTTACAAAATGTCAAATGTTTTGAAAATGTCATTGAGTATAGGAAATTATAATTTAAATATGTACTAGGCAGTGGAATGTTTCAGGTTTCTGTGATCAATATTTTTTTCAAAATTCCTAAATAATATAAATTTGTTGAAGATAAATCTAATGTTAAGTACATTAAATTTATAATTATTATTGCTTTAAATTATTTATCAAATTTTCAAATCTTAGGTATTTACACTAACATTTGTTGCATTTTTAATTATAATAAAATGTACACAGATTAGTGATTTTGGTGAATTTCATACAATTTTGATATTCGAACATAAATGCTTGAAAAAAATTGTGATTATGTAAATGTTTAAGATATTTCGTTTTACTGCAGTGCTAATGAGAAAATTTGCACAACATTATATAACATTGACGTTTTTTCACTCAATTACCTATATAATTTGTAATATACTATAAATTTGACAAAAAATTTTAATTATCTAAATATAACACAAAACAAGATAATGTATTAATGTAAGAGATACAATTGTTACTACATTTTAAATATCTAGGTAATTTATTTTTAGCGAAACTAAAAAAATAAAATTAATTTAATCGAAAACATCGTTTTTCATCAGACACTATAACCTCTTGTGTTGAAGACCGAAGTATTTTGTCTCCTTTAAAATGGGGAACAATATTCATAATTAAATTCCTTATTTATATGCATTTTAAATTGTAAAATATGATTGAAAACATGCACTAATAAAAGTCAAAATATGCAAGAAAAAAGTGCGAAACACGCAAAATAGAATTTCGTTTTTTATTACATTTTCATAAACAAAACGTAAGTTGTATAATACAACGAATATGCAACACAAAATTGTAATTTAGTTGTTAATCATTTGTGATACCAAAATAATAAAAATATATTATTAAAATTAAATCGTAGATGCATTGGTAATATAAACAGGAAAAAAGTACGAACAATTTAATTGTATGGTTAAAAGTATGGTCCATGTTTATTTCTGTGAAATCATGACGGAGGCAAAAGCCGTTCACCGTTCTCTTGAATAACTGTATGAGAAGTTCTTTTGTATTTCAATTGTAATGCTGCTACTTTTAATGTTTCTCAACAACTAAAATAAGTAGTAAGATAGATTTCTTAGTTCAATTTTTAAGAGCATACGCCCTTTAATGTGAAACACAAAATAAGAATGGTATTTTAACAATACTCTGAAATATGCACACAATATTGTAAATATATAATACAGTCAATATCTATTATTGATATCCACACAACAGAATTCATCAAAATTCAAAGGGGTCTAACATATTCAATTTTATGTTGTACATTTATATAATTGTATAATTAGTAACTACCTATAGATATA